ATATACAAATATGTAAAATATGGAGAAAGTGTTCTCACTGAAAAGTTGTAATAGTTAGCCACTGGCTTTTCCTTCCAATTTTTCTTATTCATCTGAACTTTGTCAGGATGCATACGTAAAGAAAGGTAAATCTAAATGCACTGGCTTCATTGTTAAATTGTTCTTTTATCCTGTACTACCCCATTTATGAAGCAGAAAAAGTCAGATCTCATTTTCTTTTGCTTTCCTTATTTAATATTGTAAATGAAAATAACTTAAGGTTATCTAGTTCAGTCTTTTGGTTAATCCAAATCAGATAATTAAACATAGTACAGAAACAAAATTATTGCTTTGTTGGTTTACTGCCTCACAGGAAAGTCTTATAAACCATTCCTGTAACGGTACCTAAAATTTGATAACTTCCTTAGTCCTTGCTATAACCAAGTCAAGTAAATTCCTGTTGGTTCTTTTGTGGAAAATGGCCTACGACAGGTAATAGGCACTTGGATTACCTGGTATATTCTAGAATCATTTTGATTTTTACAAATTACACTACCATGATTGACCAGGACCACTCCTCAGCTTCTCCCCTCAAATGTCTACTTGTGTGTGTGTATGGTTCTAGTTTTAAGACTTCACACAGTAATACACACATAGAGGTGCTCAAATATTTGTTGAAACAATTACTTCCAATTGCTTCTTGGCCTTTTGGCTAAGAAACAAGTACTTCCTGTCCCCACTTGGCACCATATTTTAGCCACCTGGTATTTTCTTTTTAAAGGGAACTTTTACATACGGCATCCACAATGGCTTTGGCAGCGTCGGGATCACACTTGAAGGGGCTCTCAGACACTGTTGTATTCATGCTGTTAAATAAAACAAGGGAAGTCATAAGAAGAAACAGCTAAAAAATTCTCTCAACAGTTAAAAAAATAAGTGAAAGATGTTAGACCAGATGACAATCAAGTTTGATTTAGTTGAAAGCCTTCTCTGATAATTTATCTGATAATTTATTTTGGCAAAGTACAACTATTCTTGTGGTCAGTTTTATTCAAGTATTTTGTTTGTTTGTTTGTCTTGAAACAGGATCTTCCTCTGTTATTCAGGCTGGAGTTCAGTGGTGTGATCATACTCACTGCAATCTCGAACTCCTGGGCTCAAGCAATCCTCCTGTCTCAGCCTCCTGAGTAGCTGGGACTACAGGTGCTTGCCACCATGCATGGCTAATTTAAAAAAAATTTTTTTGTAGGGATAGGGTCCCAATGTTACCTAGGCTGGTCTTGAACTCCTGGCCTCTTGCAATCCTCCTGCCTCAGCTTCCCAAAGTGCTAAGATTACAGGAGTGAGCCACTGCACCTGGCCTCAAATATCTTAACAAGTTCAGATTTTTTATTTTTTTATTTTTGAGACAGAGTCTTGCTCTGTCACCTGCATAGAGTGCAGTGGCATCACTGTAGCTCACTGCAACCTCAAACTCCTGGGCTCAAGCAATCCTCTTGCCTCAACCTCTTGAGTACCTGGGACTATAGGCACCACCACGATGCCTGGCTATTTTTTTTTATGTTTAGTAGAGATGGGGTCTCATTCTTGCTCAGGCTGGTCTCAAACTCCCGAGCTCAAGTGATCCTCCCACCTTGGCCTCCCAGAGGCGTGAGCCACCACACCCAGCCTGCAAGTTCAGATTTAAGAATCTGTTTTATAATTCTCACCGAAATAGCTGAGAAATACAAATTAAAATGAGAAATGTATCTTTCCTAATTGGAAAAAATGAACAATAAAAAAAAAATCAGTTCCTGTAGTGTTGATGAGAACTCCGAAACTGACACTTCTGGCAGGAATAATAAATGGTTCAACATTTCTGAAAAATCATCTAGTAAAATGTATCCAAAACCTTTAAGAAGTTCACAGGCTTTAATAGAGAAATTTCGCCTCTAAAAATCTAGTCCAAGATTGAAACAAAGAGTTTATCATATTTGAAGTAACCAAAATGTCCTGCGATAAGGAGTTATTAAAAACAGCTTATGAAAAAGTAGAACAGAGGATACTAGAGGCTGAGAAGGGTAGGAGGAAGGAAGGAATAGGGAGAGATTTGTTTAAGGATAAAAAATTACAGCTAGATAGGAGGAATATGTCCTAGTGCTCTATAACACTGTGTAACTATAGTTAACAATAACATATTATACAGTTTCAAATAGCTAGGAGGAGCATATTGAGCATTCCCAACACAAAGAAATGATAAATGTTTGTGAAGACGGAAATGCTAATTACCTTGATCTGATCATTATAGATACATATTAAGACATCGCTATATACCCCATGAATATATATAATTATTATGTCAATTAAAAAATCAGTAAAAAAAGGTTTATCCACAAAATGGAATACTATATAGAGATGGAATGCTATATTATAAAAATATTACATTTTTAATGACATGGGAAATGTTTATAATATAGTGTTAAATAAAAAAAAATCATAAAACATATGATCCTAATTTTTTTTTTTTTTTAATACAGGGTCTCGCTCTGTCACCCAGGCTGCAGTGTCATCAGCTCACTGCGACCTCAAATTCCTGGGCTTAAGCAATTCTCCTGCCTCCGCCTTCCAAGCAGCTGGTACTACAGGCAAGGCCCCACGCCTGGCTAAGTTTTCTGTTTTTTGAAGAGATGAGGTCTCGCTATGGTGTTCAGGCTGGTCTTTAACTCCTGGCCTCAAGTTATCCTCCCACCTCAGCCTCCCAAAGTGCTGGGATTTACAGGCGTGAGCCACCACGCCCAGCTACCCTCACAAAGCTCTGATCTTGCTGTCCTCTTTCTTTATAGTTTTAGTTTGTACTTGTTCAGGGAGTATCATGTGTTTACCTTCCCATTCACCTGGACACTGACTGACAAAATCAACAGTAGTGCCCTCTTATCTGCAGGAGATACGTTCCAAAGATCCCCAGTGGATGCCTGAAACTGCAGATCATCCAATCCCTATATATACTGTTTTTCCAATCTGATAGCCAAGATGGCTCCTAAGTGACTAATGGGTGGGTAGCCTATAGAGTGTGGATATGCTGGACAAAGGGATGACTAACACCCAAGGTGGGACAGAGTAGGAGGCATGAAATTTTATCATGCTGCTCAGAATGGCATGCAATTTAAAACTTATGAATTGTTTATTTCTGGAATTTTCCATTTAATATTTTCAGACAAAGGTTGACTCAGGTGACTGAAAGCATCGGAAGTGAAACCACAGATGAGGGGGACTGCTGTATCTCTTTTCTAAGTGTTTCATGGTTATTAAAACCTTTGGAGAGTCTGCTTTGTTTGTTAAACTTGTAGAGAAGAGTTAACACTTACCAACTGATTCCTTTTCCATCTGTTTTCTTAGTCACTAATGCTTTCCAATGGTCGTGAGTGCTTTTAATAATATCCATTGCGAAGTCCTATAATTTGAAGAGATGCATTATAATGATAGAAAGGTGTTCTTTTCCTATTATCAACATTTTCCCAAAGCCTGATACTTCGTCCCTGATACTTCGTCTGTTTTTTTTTTTTGAGACAGAGTCTCACTCTGTTGCCCAGGCTAGAGTGCCGTGGCATCAGCCTAGCTCACAGCAACCTCAAACTCCTGGGCTCAAGCGATCCTCCTGCCTCAGCCTCCTGAGTAGCTGGGACTACAGGCACGCGCCACCATGCCCGGCTAATTTTTTCTATACATTTTTAGCTGTCCAATTAATTTCTTTCTATTATTTTAGTAGAGACGGGGTCTCGCTCTTGCTCAGGCTGGTCTCAAACTCCTGAGCTCAAACGATCCACCCGCCTCGGCCTCCCAGAGTGCTAGGATTACAGGCGTGAGCCACCACGCCTGGCCACTTCGTCTTTTTTGAGTCACTTTCTTTCAGTGGTGTAATCATAGCTCACTATAACCCTGAACTCCTGGACTCAAGTAATCCTCCCACCTCAGCTTCCCAAGTAGCTGAGACTACAGGCTCATATCATAATGCTGAGCTAGTTTTTTAAATTTTTTGTAGAGACAGGGTCTCACTATGTAACCCAGGCTGGTCTTGAGCTTCTGGCCTTAAGTTATCCTCCCACTTCAGCCTCCCAAAGAGCTGGGATGACAGGTATGAGCCACCATGCCTGGCCCTGAATCACTTTCCTTTGTTAAAAATGGGAGAACATTTAAATGAATAAATAAATACCAAGACTATTTTATGTCTTTAGACTTTCGTTTAATGAATTTTTATGAATCTTTAGATGGTTACAATATGGTTAAATTGTAAGTCTCAACACAAATAGGCCTAAAGCTAAAGTTATGAATGACACATTACCTTATCTTTAAATTCTGCATTGAAAGCAAACTCATTTTCTGGTTTTCCATCAGGAACCTTGTATCTTCTAAACCAGTCCACAGTAGCTTCTAGGTAGCCAGGTTTCAGCCGTTTGACATCATGAATATCTAACAAGAGAATAACAGATTTCAAGATGCATAAGTAATTATTTATGCATTCAACAAAAATATCAAGTACATACTTTGTGAGAGCCATGGGATGGCTTTTCAAAAAAAGTTCAAGAAAACATTGGAGCTAACCACATTATGTTGCGATGAGAACACACACACATTAAAAGGAAATCATCTGGTGTCTCGGAATAGCTCTGACGTTAAGTACTAAGAGAAGAATCAATAAGATAGTAACTTCTATTAGATAAGAAGAAATGACTGGCAGCTACATAATTAAAGAACCAGTTTGTCAAGTGTGGATAACTTCTATGAGAACGGTAGAAGATACTGAAAAAGACAGGTTGAGGCTGTATTTCAGAGGATCACATTCCCATTATATAAGACAAGAAAAATGGATTAGACTGAAATCCAGTGATGGGTTACAAATAAAATGTGACTAGACTTTGCTGAATAGTATAGGCATTCTATATTACAATGCTTTAAATGTGGCCAACAGAAAAGTGTGCTGCTTAAAAAACTTTTTAAAAGTTTCTGGCCGGGCACAGTGGCTCACACGCGTAATCCTAGCACTCTAGGAGGCTGAGGCGGGAGGATTGCTTGAGCTCAGGAGTTCAAGGTTACAGTGAGCTATGATTGCACCACTGCACTTCAGCCTGAGCAAGAGCAAGACCCTATCTCTACTAAAAATAGAAAAAATGAGCCGGGCATGGTGGTGCATGCCTGTAGTCCCAGCTACTCAGGAGGCTGAGGCAGGAGGATCATTTGAGCTTGGAAGTTTGAGGTTGCTGTGATCTGGGCTGACGCTACTGCACTCCTGCCAAGACAACAAAGCAAGACTCTGTCCCCCGCCTCCCCCCAAAAAAGTTTTTGTACAGCCTCCAACAACGTCTACTAGCCTCAATGTCATTAAACTGAACTTTAAATGACCAAACTTCTGCTCAATGCAAGCAAATAAAAGATACAAGTGCTAAAAAAGTTAATCAGTAAAAGTATTACTGGAAAGAGGAATACATTTAACAACAGAAGCTTATTTATAGTCATATAATGTTACTTCAGTCCAATTTAAGATCTATATATTAGTAGTTAAAGAATATCATGCACTCGATTATAGTACCATCAAAAGTATGGAAATACAAATCCGATAAAGGGCTGATAACCAGAATCTACTTAGAACTCGGGAAAATCAACAAGAAAAAAATCAAACGACCCTATCAAAAAGTGGGCAAAGGACATGAACAGAAACTTTTCAAAAGAAGACAGAATAATGGCCAAAAAACATATGAAAAAATGCTCAACATCTCTAATCATCAGGGAAATGCAAATTAAAACCACAATGAGATAACACTTATCTCCAGTGAGACTGGCCTTTACCAAAAAGTCTCAAAACAATAAATGTTGGCGTGGATGTGGAGAGATAGGAACACTCATGCACTGCTGGTGGGACTGCAAACTAGTGCAACCTCTGGCGAAAGCAATATGGAGATACCTCAAAGAGATACAAGTAGAAGTACCATTAGATCCAGCAATCCCATTACTGGGCATCTACCCAAAAGAGCAAATGATACTGTATAAGAAAGACACCTGCACCTGAATGTTTATAGCAGCACAATTTGCAATTGCAAAGATGTGGAAACAACCCAAGTGTTCATCAATACATGAGTGGATTAATAAAATGTGGTATATGTATACCATGGAGTACTATTCAGCTTTAAGAAACAATGGTGATATAGCACCTCTTGTGTACTCCTGGATGGAGCTGGAACGCATTCTACTAAGTGAGGTATCCCAAGAATGGAAAGACAAGCACCACATGTACTCACCATCAAATTGGTATTAACTGATCAACACATAAGTGCACATATAAGAATAACATCTTCACCATCAAATTGGTATTAACTGATCAACACATAAGTGCACATATAAGAATAACATCTTCACCATCAAATTGGTATTAACTGATCAACACATAAGTGCACATATAAGAATAACATCTATTGGATGTTGGGCAGGGGGGAGGGAGGAGGAGGAAGGAGGGAGGAGGGGACGGGTATTTGCATACACAATGAGTGTAATGCGCACCACCTGAAGGATGGACATATTTGGAACTCGGACTTGGGGGGGGGGCAAGGGCAACATATGTAACCTAAACATCTGTACCCCCATAATATGCTGGAAAAAAAAAAGTACGGAAAGTTTACAGAGTAAACTGGGAAATATTTAAACACTGATAAATTTCAAAGAATTTATAGTTGACATAAAATGTGTAAGCTGACATAGCAATAAGTTGAAAATCAAGAAATCTGAAATGCAAATACTGATGTTTTCCAATACCAACAACCGATTCTCTAATTCTCCAATACCAACTGGGTATCCATAATTCAATTCAATCTTGACACTGTCTTCCTGGAGTTAGCATCATATCCTATAAGTTAAAGAGCTCAGTCTTACAAGACTACCCCATATCAGATGCCAGCTGCAAATCCTGGGCCTCCCATACTTCTGACCAACCTGCTATAAATTAAGGGTCACCACAATCCTTTCTTCAGGTTCCATAATTTGCTAGAATGGCTCACAGAACGCAGGAACACTTAAGTTTACTGTTTTATTATAAAGGATACAACTCAGGGACAGCAAATGGAAAAGCTGCATAGGAGGCAAGCTATGGTGTGGACAGACAGACACTGCCTTAGGTTGACATTTAGGGAAAGCTGTGTACTACTCACACCATGGGACTGGCCACCCGGAGAAAGTGTTCAGGATGCTAATAACCCCTACTGCAGGGAGATAACACTCTAGCAAATTAGTGCTGACATGGTGATGGGCTTGGCTTCACTAATCATGGCTAGAGCATGGCATTCAGAGTGTATTCTCTTGTGTGAGTAGCACATGTGAAAATGGACACACTGATCAATAGAATCAGAGTTGTACCATTAAGTAGTTAACAGATAGATGGTATGAATGCACTCTCACTGTACAAAATTTAAACAATGCAGAAGTATCTGAAACAAAAAGTATCTCTTCATCCTTCTCACTGCTCTGTTAAAGAATTGGTGTTCTTCCAGTCCTTTTTCAACAAATTTACACACACATGCAAATACATATTATCTCATTTTAAGGGAACATGTTCTAAGATGACTCTATTTTTTCCTCCCCAGCTAACACCTTGCTCGTGGAACAGATGACTCTAATCACTGTTGTGCAGACCTTGACCATCCAGCTGGGGTGGTGTTTGTCAGGTCTATCATAAAGCCAGTCTCCCCTCTCCCTCTTCCACACTGTACTCTTTGGAAGGAAGTCACTATGTGCAACGTACAATTAAGGAGTGAGGAGTTACATTCCACACTCCATATTAGTGGAGTATCTACATAAATTACTTTAAATTCTTCTGCTTAGAGATTTGTCTATTCTTCCCTATTTGGTTGTTCAATATTTATTTATGTCAATATGGACTCATGGATATTTATAATAATTTATGCTCTGGGTTATCAGCTAATACTACTTTATTTTCTTGCCCAAATTGTTCCAGCTTTGGCCATGGGAGCTCTCTCAGTTGTGTGTCCCTTTGACAGACTCCCATCACTATTCTTTTTTGAGAGCATTCTTTACTTCCTAGCACTATAAGATGCTCCAGGCTCATCTTGTCATTCCCTGCCCCAGCCCTAGAATCAGCCATTTCTCCAAGGAGCCTTGGTTCCTTTTTATTGTAGAATGGTATTAGAAACCAACATCCAGGTGCCAGGGGTGCTCATTGCTACTGAGATGGTCTTTTATGCTCACTCAGTTGACAGAGCAAAGAAACATATATGTGTCTCCTAATCTATGTATATATATACGTATCTAAAAGTGTTTCTCTGCGTATCCATCTGACTCCACATTATGGTGAACACAAGTTCATACTGATATTTCCAACTCTCATGCATCACCACATGGATCATTCTAGCCACACCCCCTTGCTTATCTATAACCTCCCACTCCAACAGCGAGAAACCTGTTCCCACCACCTTCTATCCATTTACTTCATTGTTCAAATCCAGTATACATGTATAGTGTATAGGTTGACAGAATTGTCAACCTGTACTCCACTGAGAAACAACTTTACCAACTAGAATATAATGTTTATGTGTGGGTTTTCTTGCCTTTAGTCTTACTGACTCTACTCATTTCTAAAGTTACTTAGGTTAGCACCTTTTCTTCTCATCTCCTTCGGTGAGGTTATTTCATACATTTTCAGCATGGTTAGATTCTTCTGTCACAGTTTGCATTCCATCCTGGAATTGACCTTGTAAATGACCTTTTAAAAATTTACATACATTAAGGTTCACTCCTTGTGCTGTGTGTTATTACTTATCTATTGCTGCTATAACAAACTACCACAAACTTAATGGCTTAAAACAACACAAATTTATTATCTAAGAGTTCTGTGGGTCAGCAGTTCTACATGTTGTCACCAGCCTAAAATCAAGGTGTCAGCAAAGCTGTACTAATTTCTGAAGGCTCTAGCAGAGAATCTGTTCCTTTGCCTTTTCCATCTTTTACAGGTTGCCTACTTTCCTTGGCTTGTGGCCACCCCCAACCCCCCCACGACCTTTAAAGCCAGTAGCGTTGTACCTCTCTGACCTGCCATCACATCTCTCTCTGCCTATAGCTGGGAAAGGGTCTCTGCTTTCAAGGACTCATGTGACTGCACTGGGCCCACCTGGATAATCCAGGATACTCTCTCCATCTCAAGGTTCTTAACCTTAATCATATCTGAAAGTCCACTGACCTTGTAAGGCAACATATTTACAGGTTTCAGGGGTTAAGAGGTGGACATCTTTGAGGGGATGGCATCATTGTGCTACTGTAAAGTTCTATAGGTTTTGACAAATGTATAGTATCATATATCCGTCATTGCAGTGACATTCAGAATAGTTTTACCACCTGTTGTAAAATGTTGGCCCCTCCAAAGATGTCCATCTTTTAATTCCCAGATATATGAATATGTTATGTTTCATGGCAGGAAGAATGAAGGCTACAGATGGAATTAAGGTTGCTGATCAGCTGACCTTAAAATTGGGAGATCATCCTGGGTTATCTGGGTGGGCCCAATATAATCATAAAGGTCCTTATAATGTAGAGGAGGAAGGCAGAAGAGTCAGAGTTAGAGAAGGAGTTGTGACAAAAAGCAAGCTTGCAGTGATATAATGACCCAACCTGCCATTGCTGGCACTCACAGGGGCCGTGAACCAAGGAATGCGGGCAGCCTCTAAAAGCTGAATAAGGCAGGACAATGAATTTTCCCCTAGAGCATCCAGAGGGAATGCAACTCACCGACACTTTGATTTTAGCCCAGTGAGATGCATTTGGGATAGGCAAGAGAAGACTAATTCAATAACTAGATAAATAGATTAGATCATTAACTAGAAGGAAGGTTAATATAAAAATAGTCAAGATAAATTAGACATGGAGTTAAAAGAGATAAGCATTGTTTTTTCTAAAAGGACTTCATACAGTCAAATTATAGCACTAGACAACACACTTATTGTCAA